AAACACAGAGACAGGTTAACACTGGTTCTGTATCAGTCATATCATCAAACCATCACTGTACTGGTACCTACAACGAAACACAGAGACAGGTTAACACTGGTTCTGTATCAGTCATATAATCAAACCATCACTGTACTGGTAACTACAACGAAACACAGAGACAGGTTAACACTGGTTCTGTATCAGTCATACCTACACTTGTAATCTTAAAAGTGGACTAAAATACAGCTACAGGCAAAATATCAGTGTTTCATTCATAAGAACCTATTAAAAGATTTAAACATGTGACACCTGTGACCTTGAATGTCGAATAAGGACATTATAATATTAGGTTGAACAGAGTTTATAGTCTTCCAACCCATCATGCTTCTGGAAAAAATCATTACCCTGGACCTTTTGGTTATACAGAACAAATCATTTAAAGATTTAAACATATATTGACCACTGTGACTTTGAATATGGGCGAAGGTCATTCACTTGGTAGTCCTTCATCCCAGCATGTTAATGGCCAAATATCATCACCCTTGGCCTTTTGCTTATTAAGAAGTCATTCAATGGTTTTAAACATATTTGACCCCGGTGACCTTAAAATATATATGTCCAGGTCATTCATTTGAACTTGGTAGTCCTTCATCCCAGCATGTTACTGGCATTATCCTAGGTCTCTTGGTTATTCAGAAGAAGTTGTTTAAAGGTTTAGAACATATTTGACACTGTGACATTGAAAAAAGATGAAGGTCATTCATTTGAACAAACTGTATAGCCCTTCATCTCAGCATGCTACTAGCCAAATATCATCACACTAGGCCTATTGGTTATTCAGAAGAAGTTGTTTAAATGTTTAAAACATATTTGCCCTCTGTGACCTTGAAAGTGGGTCAAGGTCATTTATTTGTACAAACTTGGTAGCCCTTCATTTCAGCATATTAATGCCCAAATATCATCACCGTAGGCCTCTCGGTTATTCAGAAAAAAGTTATTTAAATGTTTTAAACATATTTGACCCCTGTGACCTTGAATATAAGTCAAGGTCATTTATTTGAAAAATTCTGGCAGCCCTTCATCCCAGCATGTCACTGGCCAAATATTTAACACCCTAGGCCTCTTGGTTTTTCAGAAGAAGTTGTTTAAAGATTTTAACATATTTGACCCCTGTGACCTTGAATATTGATGAAGGTCATTTATTTGAACAAAATTGGTAGCCCTTCATCCAAGCATGCTTCTGGCAAAATATCATCACCCTAGGCCTTTTGGTTACTGAGAAGAAGTTGTTTAAAGTAAAAAGTTGACGATGGACGGACGCCGCACCATGCCTTAAGCTCACTTGGCCCTTCGGGCCAGGTGAGCTAAAAACTGAATAACAGTGAAGTCCATTTGTTAATACAGAACTATCCTTGCTATATTTATAACACTGTGACAGACTTAGATGACTTACAGCGTTGTCTGGATGGAAGATGTAAGAAGCTGGGGAGTTGTCGATGATTACCACCTGGTCCAAATCTCTCCCCAATCGGCTTAAGTCCTGCAAAGGACAACAGTATATACACACATTGTTCATGAAGTAAAACAAGAAGTTGGTGACATCTCACCCTGCTTTCTGCTTGATATTCAGTACATCAACAACAGTAACAGAGTTTTACCAATTACAATCTGTAGATCAAACTGTCAACCTGCAGCTACACTACAATGTAAAGTAGACAAGTGTAAACCTCAACCCCTTATATAGTGTCAAGTTATACGTCTATGTAAACATTTTCAGTCGTTGGCAAGGCATCAATCTGAATTATCCTTAAGTTACCCCTTGATATTTTAGTAAAGCCCTAATGGGTCCAAATATCCATTCCTGGTCAGGAGTTTTTATACTTTAACATAGTGGGAATAGTAAAGGGCTGTACATTAGCAGATAATTACACATTCCTGATCAGGAGTGTTATACTTTAACATAGTGGGAATAGTAAAGGGCTGTACATTAGCAGATAATTACACATTCCTGATCAGGAGTTTTATACTTTAACATAGAGGAATAGTAAAGGGCTGTACATTAGCAGATAATTACACATTCCTGATCAGGAGTTTTATACTTTAACCTAGAGGAATAGTAAAGGACTGTACATTAGCAGATAATTACACATTCCTGATCAGGAGTGTTATACTTTAACCTAGAGGAATAGTAAAGGACTGTACATTAGCAGATAATTACACATTCCTGATCAGGAGTTTTATACTTTAACCTAGAGGAATAGTAAAGGACTGTACATTAGCAGATAATTACACATTCCTGATCAGGAGTGTTATACTTTAACCTAGAGGAATAGTAAAGGACTGTACATTAGCAGATAATTACACATTCCTGATCAGGAGTTTTATACTTTAACCTAGAGGAATAGTAAAGGACTGTACATTAGCAGATAATTACACATTCCTGATCAGGAGTGTTATACTTTAACCTAGAGGAATAGTAAAGGACTGTACATTAGCAGATAATTACACATTCCTGATCAGGAGTTTTATACTTTAACCTAGAGGAATAGTAAAGGACTGTACATTAGCAGATAATTACACATTCCTGATCAGGAGTGTTATACTTTAACGCGGAGGAATAGTAAAGGACTGTACATTAGCAGATAGTTACACATTCCTGATCAGGAGTTTTATACTTTAACGCAGAGGAATAGTAAAGGGCTGTACATTAGCAGATAATTACACATTCCCGATCAGGAGTGTTATACTTTAACGCGGAGGAATAGTAAAGGACTGTACATTAGCAGATAGTTACACATTCCTGATCAGGAGTTTTATACTTTAACGCAGAGGAATAGTAAAGGGCTGTACATTAGCAGATAATTACACATTCCTGATCAGGAGTGTTATACTTTAACATAGTGGGAATGGTAAAGGGCTATACATTAGCAGATAGTTACACATTCCTGATCAGGAGTTTTATTCTTTAACATAGAGGAATAGTAAAGGGCTGTACATTAGCAGATAGTTACACAGTCCTGATCAGGAGTTTTATACTTTAACATAGTGGGAATAGTAAAGGGCTGTACATTAGCAGATAGTTACACATTCCTGTAGTGATAGTAGGCTTGCTTTCCACTAAGATAGCCTGCCATGGGTTTACATTCCCCAACCAAAGGTGAAATGCGAGGGTCACATGAGTCTTCCCTGGATACTCTCGTTCCTTCACACATTAACACCCCACCCCTTCACACATTAACACCCCTTCACACTACCCTCTGTACCAAAAACAGTTAATAATGTAAGTTGATAAAAATTCATCATTATTGTAACATAAAAATAAATAACTTTTTGGTCTTCACCTTCTGACTTATACATCATTAGTGTTCCCCAGAAATAATGGGTGTGCAATGAAAGTATGATGTAGAAATACTTTTTGTATGATAATTATACAAGTTTTCATATCTTTAGGTGGAAAGATACTTAAGTCTGGAAACAATCTTTCTCTCATTTCGGTGTGTGTAAGATAGAGCTGTTACGGGTAAGAAAGGTGTAAGACAGAAATTCTGTGATGTTACATTGGCTCTTCAATGACATGACCTCACAAATTTGGAAAACTCTGCTGCAGCAATGCGAAAAAAGCATTGCTGAAATTAAAACCTTTTATGATATATTTACCATACACATTAGGAAGATGAGATTAAAATTTTCTGCCCAAACTCTGTTTACAAATATGGGGTATGCTAATTTTCAATGACAGATTCGTTTTCGTCAACAAAAAATCTAAGGGGAAAATTGATATTTTCAGAATTTTCATGCTGAGCTTATTCTGGATCTTGGAATGAGAGAGAAATACTGTTTCATGCCCAAGGGTGTAGGATAGGAAAAATTCCACCTTCTGGATTTTCAATTTCAGCAAAACACTCGGTAAAGCCTCGTCAGTAACCAAATTTGAAAAACCCCTCGGGTAGAATTTCCCTATTCTACAACCCTGGGCATGAAAGAGTCTTATATCCACAAAGGTCACTGTTGACCTTTATACATAAATATATAGGCCTTTTCTTCACTCAATTGGTAGCTTTACAATTGAGGTTTGAAGAATGTTCCTGAAAAGGAACAAAAGTTATGGCCTGGAAACTATAAGGCATCTACAGACAGGCAAGGCTGTTTTCAAGGTGGCATACTTTTTACTGACAATGACTGTTACTTGTAAAACTAATAAAGCTGTTGGATGTCAAATCACAATTATTTCATTTCTCTTTTCCCCCTCACCACTCTGTTAGTATACAGGTATGTTTTTTCAATTACTGGCACTGATATTTAATCAACACATTCTTAATCATTTTAATATTCTAAACTTATGGAAAAGTGCAAGACAGGAATAACCTATGTGAAGTTATCCTGTTCTAACTGTATGCTACACACGATATCTACCTTGACATAGTTGCCCCGATGAAAGACACAGGATTCCCTGAAAAGGCGAGCCCGAAACACACCCCATTTATCAAGGAGGTCTGCCACTGGGTCGGCATACTGAAATACAACACAGACGCATTACATTATCTTTATATAGTATATCCTATTAGAAAGGATACTTCCTACGTGGTTTTTCTGTCATTGCTTTTTTTGCTTTTACTCAAAGATATGTTTGTAACCTTGTTATGAATACATTAAGTAATATGAACTTCTGAGGCATATTCTTTTGTAGTACAAATCAAAATTCTGTATCACATAAATTTTATTTTTGTTTGCATTAAACAATTTTGATAAAGCACCATAGACACTTTTATCCATGAAGAGTATTTGAATCCAGCATATCTTGGTCTGAAGAAAACGATTGTTGTAATTTTTGCATATTTGACCCCTTTTGGACCTGTCCCAAAGGTGTTTAATCAATATAATTCACAATTTTGGTTTGCCTTCGACCATAGAACCTTCGTGCAAAATGTTATCAAAATTCGTGCATTGGTTTTGGAGAAGTAAAAAAAAAAGGCAAGATGCACGAAACAGGACAAAAGATAATCTCAATAGGTCAAAAGAGACTTTGTTTAAAAATCCAAGGATGCAGAGAAGATGTACATAAGAGTGCACGTAAACAATGGATTTCAAAGCTGACCTTTGGTAGTCAGTCTGTGATCAGAAAGCACGCTAACTTACCTTGGCCAGACTGGCTGTAAACAGCACACATTCAAACATTTCACCCATTTTTTTCAGGAATTCATCAACATAAGGCCTCTTTAGTACATACACCTGAAATAGACAAAGATATAATTATATTATATTTTGTAAGATCACAATTGTGTGTGTGCATAATTCAACAGTCCTGTGTGAAGATAGGTTACAATCCTGATCCTATAGCTATCTTAGATCAATACTACTGCGTAGTGTTTTAGGTTACAATCCTGAACCTATAGCTATCTTAGATCAATACTTCTGTGTAGTGTTTTAGGTTACAAGCCTGATCCTATAGCTATCTTAGATCCATACTACTGTGTAGTGTTTTAGGTTACAAGCCTGATCCTATAGCTATCTTAGATCATTACTACTGTGTAGTGTTTTAGGTTACAATCATGATCCTATAGCTATCTTAGATCAATACTTCTGTGTAGTGTTTTAGGTTACAAGCCTGATCCTATAGCTATCTTAGATCGATACTACTGTGTAGTGTTTTAGGTTACGATCCTGATCCTATAGCTATCTTAGACCAATACTACTGTGTAGCGTTTTAGGTTACAATCCTGATCCTAGAGCTATCTTAGATCAATACTACTGTGCAGTGTTTTAGGTTACAATCCTGATCCCATAGCTATCTTAGATCAATACTACTATGTAGTGTTTTAGGTTACAATCCTGGTCCTATAGCTATCTTAGATCAATACTCCTGTGTAGTGTTTTCGGTTACAATCCTGATCCTATAGCTATATTAGATCCATACTACTGTGTAGTGTTTTAGGTTGCAATCCTGATCCTATAGCTATCTTAGGTCAATACTACTGTGTAGTGTTTTAGGGTACAATCCTGATCCTATAGCTATCTAAGATCAATACTACTGTGTAGTGTTTTAGTTTACAATCCTGATCCTATAGCTATCCTAGATCAATACTACTGTGTAGTGTTTTCGGTTACAATCCTGATCCTATAGCTATCTAAGATCAATACTACTGTGTAGTGTTTGAGGTTACAATCCTGATCCTATAGCTCTCTTAGATCAATACTACTGTGTAGTGTTTTAGTTACAATCCTGATCCCATAGCTATCTTAGATCAATACTACTGCGTAGTGTTTTAGGTTACAATCCTGAACCTATAGCTATCTTAGATCAATACTCCTGTGTAGTGTTTTCGGTTACAATCCTGATCCTATAGCTACCTTAGACCAATACTACTGTGTAGTGTTTTCGGTTACAATCCTGATCCTATAGCTACCTTAGACCAATACTACTGTGTAGTGTTTTCGGTTACAATCCTGATCCTATAGCTATATTAGATCCATACTACTGTGTAGTGTTTTAGGTTACAACCCTGATCCTATAGCTATCTTAGATCCATACTACTGTGTAGTGTTTTAGGTTGCAATCCTGATCCTATAGCTATCTTAGATCCATACTACTGTGTAGTGTTTTAGGTTACGATCCTGATCCTATAGCTATCTTAGACCAATACTACTGTGTAGTGTTTTAGGTAACAATCCTGATCCTATAGCTATCTTATATCAATACTACTGTGTAGTGTTTTAGGTTACAATCCTGATCCTATAGCTATCTTAGATCAATACTTCTGTGTAGTGATGTGACCTTTGACCTTTAGAAATGTATGACAGCTGTTCTTCACACTTACTTGGTGTACTGTTCCCTCTATCTCCACCGGAACGATGAAGTCAGCATTATTAATTGGCTGAAACAAAACAGGTACACATTATTTAAAATTATAATTTACCTAGAATGAAACAATACTCCCATGCCTCAGAAAATCTCTGTGACAGATTTAGTCCAAATCCCTTCAGACATCATTCTAAAGTTTAAGTTAACTAAAGACAACGGGACCCATATAGCATAAGCTTACTTGGCCCTGCGGATCATGTCAACTATACACATCAGAACAGGGAACAACACACTTAATGTACCCTGCAGGGGCGCCCTATTTGAGCTGAAACCCACATTTGAATTATCATGATACCCTACAGATCTTTCCGATGCAAGGACCATTCCCTTCTTCGTGGTTCATCCTAAATGAACATTTTGGAACTTTCAATACTTTTCCTACTCTTGAACTTTTCATAGATCTATTTACCTAATATATAGGACCCATACAGTCACCATCTAAGCTTCACGTACCATTCAGGATTACTAGTACCCTTCTCTTATTGGCAAAACATTCACATATCTTTCTTCTCCAAAACTTTGGATACTTTAACGTTACTTTTATTGTTGTTTATTTGCTGAAACGTCCCCTATTATATACTTAGTATATTTGTTTACTTTGAGACTGTCATATATATTCACTCATATTATTCTAATCTTACACTTTATATATTTCAATTATGCACCAATCAAAATATTGTCGTTGCTCAAAATCTACTTCCTTGTAACTGATAATAACTTCATAGATATTGTGTATTGTTTCAAGTCACATGACTTTCATTGTTCCTCCACCATCACCATGTAGTAGCTGTGCTCCGACGACCACCTGCCTAGCAACCCAAAACCATTCAGCACAAGTATCAATATACAGAAACCAGGACTCCGGCCCCACTACTTCTCTCATTGGTTTATTTGCTTTACAATGAGATGGATAATACATACCACTAGGTATCCTCCTGAATACCTACAGGATGCCAGTAAATAGTCCTCACCACTTACTGGACACTACAGGTTCTTTACCTAAGCATTATGTCCATGTATTACCAAAAGTATTAGGTCATTGACTTGTGTTGTGATGACCTGAAGATTGGCACATGTCATTGTTTGCCTCTAATGCCTGTACTGACCTTAAATGAGCTGTGGACTAGAGTCTCTAATGACTGTACTGACCATAAATGAGCTGTGGACTAGAGTCTCTAATGGCTGTCCTGACCTTAAACGAGCTGTGGACTAGAGTCGCTAATGACTGTACTGACCTTAAATGAGCTGTGGACTAGAGTCTCTAATGGCTGTCCTGACCTTAAATGAGCTGTGGACTAGAGTCGCTAATGACTGTACTGACCTTAAATGAGCTGTGGACTAGAGTCTCTAATGACTGTACTGACCTTAAATGAGCTGTGGACTAGAGTCTCGTCCAGGTCTATGACAACACATTTCCTGTTCATGTCCTGGTGCCGCACCTGTGATAGCAGGTACTTTTCTGGTGGTGCCTGTAAAAATAATTCAGAAATTAAATGACACTCACCTGTAAGCTGAAATTTGATTATAATTCTGTTTCACTGCTGACGGTACATTAGGGATCATGTGAGAGGTGCGTGCACATCTTCTTTCATTATTTGATGAGAGTTGATACTGAATAGGTAGTTATCCAATACAATGATAATAAATATATTATATATATATGTCACTTCGAGAGAAAGGTGTCGGTACATATGGAGAAAGTACATTCACTCACACTGACCAGTGTACACTACACACTGACCAGTGTACACTACATACTGACCAGTATACACAGCACACTGTCCAGTGTACACTACACACTGACCAGTGTACAGTACATACTGACCAGTGTACACTACACACTGACCAGTATACACTTCATATACTGACCAGTGTACACTACACACTGACCAGTGTACACTACATATACTGACCAGTATACACTACACACTGACCAGTGTACACTACACACTGACCAGTGTACACTACACACTGACAAGTGTACACTACACACTGACCAGTGTACACTACATATACTGACCAATGTACACTACACACTGACCAGTGTACATTACATATACTGACCAGTATACACTACATACTGACCAGTGTACACTACACACTGACCAGTATACACTACACACTGACAAGTGTACACTACACACTGACCAGTGTACACTACATATACTGACCAGTATACACTACATATACTGACCAGTATACACTACACACTGACCAGTGTACACTACACACTGACCAGTGTACACTACACACTGACCAGTGTACACTACACACTGACCAGTGTACACTACACACTGACCAGTGTACACTACACACTGACCAGTGTACACTACACACTGACCAGTGTACACTACACACTGACCAGTGTACACTACACACTGACCAGTGTACACTACACACTGACCAGTGTACACTACACACTGACCAGTGTACACTACATATACTGACCAGTATACACTACACACTGACCAGTATACACTACATACTGACAAGTGTACACTACACACTGACCAGTGTACATTACATTTACTGACCAGTGTACACTACACACTGACCAGTGTACACTACATATACTGACCAGTATACACTACATATACTGACCAGTGTACACTGCACATTGACCAGTGTACACTACATATACTGACCAGTGTACACTACACACTGACCAGTGTACACTACATATACTGACCAGTGTACACTACACACTGACCAGTGTACACTACACACTGACCCGTATACACTACATACTGACCAGTATACACTACACATGTACACTGACCAGTGTACACTACATACTGACCAGTGTACACTACACACTGACCAGTGAACACTACACCCTGCATCATGTAAATAGTAATGGATCAACAAAACATCATTGCAGTGTATGATTTGATGATATTCTTCCACACATGCCTTTTATATAGCAGACTTACCTACGTTGGTAGTTAGTATTTACTTACCCGTGGGTTGCCATTCTCCTCCACCACAGGCACCTGACAATTAGACGGAGGATTGTTGTTGTTGGTTGTACCAAAACAGCAGAAAAAGGAACTGAATATTCCTCGGTTTCTCGGCTTCTTCATGGCATTATTATTGGCATTGTTCGCCGGCGTGCCTGGAACAACAAAAAGTATTACACTGTATATAATTACACAAAAGTATTACACTGTATATAATTACACAAAAGAAATCGCAGACAAGAAACTGGGTTGTAATGTTTTGTGCATAAATATGTAGGGTGAACTTTTCAGTGCGACACCTTTAACAGCTGGTCAGACTGCAGTTGGAGTGTTGCTTAGTCACACAGCCAAACCTGCTCAGTGTTAGGTTTAGTTTGGACATTTTATTTTTTCCTTGTTACACTGCTTACTATGCCCTTGTGATAAGGTTGTGGATGGGATATAGCACTTGTAACAGTGAAACATTTTGTCATCATTATGGCAATGCCATTTATTTCTGAAGGGATTTAATTTGAGTGAATTTTATATACAATAGTGAGGTTTATCATCTATATACTACTTTATACCACCTACCGGTAGCATGATAAATTCATTATCATGGGTTGTCAGTATGAGAATACTCAATAAGATGTTGAGAACGACTTGAGAACAGAGTTTCCCATTTCCTGGTATAAGGGAACGTATTTTATCAAAAAAGAACATCTACTCGTGCCAGGTGATGTCGTCCTAAACAGGAAGTGATATCCACACGAAAGTGATCCGCATAAGAAAGTAGTCTGTCATAAACAAATCAATATCAAGTTACGAAAAAATATTGTGAGAATAAAAACACAACTAAAAGCGTAAATGTGCATAAGAAAAAGCCAATGACGATATGATTATTAAATAATTTTTTTGTCTACATGTAGTTTTATTGTTCATTGTATTCCTCTGCCCAAATCTTCTATCTGTTTACGTTTGTTACAGACCAAGGATTTGCGATCATTGACCATTGAGCTTAGAAGTCATTTGGAAAACATGGTGTTTAGTTGACTTTTTTAAATGGAGAAATGTATAATGTAGAAGCATATAGATGATAAACAGTTTATCACACAGTATTTTCAGGGTTTGTGTATGTGGTGGCCTCTCAATTGTATCCACATTCTCACGATGAGAAAATTGTTTTCATGACAAATCCTGATCAAAATACTGTGTGATAATCTATAATGCTAGCACGTTTGTGTGTGAAAGCCAAGGTCAAGGTCACTATTACTATATGTATATGGAAATCTTTGTCGTTACACTAACTAGAACACTGACAGGTAACTTAGTTTGAGGTTGGTAGGCTGTAGTAACTAGAACACTGACAGGTCAGTAAGGGCCCCGTCTTGTGGCATCCCCCATAATCATCAAGAAGCAATCTGCCCATATAGCTGCATTAAGTCTGTCTAGCTTAACGTTTGACATTTGGACTTTAAAAAGAATCGCAAGGAAGCAAATTATACATTTTACATGTACTAAGATGTGAGTCTTGTTTCCTTCCACCTCCATATTTGCTGGGCTAACAGAAATGTGAAAACCGGTGTAATACTCATTTGAAAAGGGTCCGATCCAATAATCGAATTTGCTGATGAAAGATCGATTATGTTCAATTGTATTGTAAACCTTTTCTAACTTGAAGCAGACACAACATCTGCATCGACATTATAAATTTGGTGGTTAATATAAAAACGGAATTGTTTATGGTAAAAAAGCGGAATTGCTTTTCGTTGCGTCACTTGTATTCGTTTCGTTGAATACATACATCCGCATTTTGTATCAACCGAAACCGCCATATTTGAAAGCTAGTAAAATGAAGCTAGCAGAGTGTTTTTCGTGATAAATTATTATTAATATGCTATGTCATAGTGATTGGAGCATTCAAATGGGGGTAATTAATACTTGAACTGTGAGTACACCTAGTTGTCATCAAGTTTCGAATCAAAACAGAGATATAATTGAACCCTTCCTTCCGCTTAGATTTCGGAAACGAGTATTTTCAAATCAGTCGGCACAATTACATCAGATAATAAATTGGCCGGCCTCTTATGTTACAAGAGTAGGTCATTTAAACCAATAATTGATTATCGATCGATTATGGAGTTCCGATTATCGACCTTGAATATTTGACCGATTCCCAGCACTACCTTATATACCTCCTCCATCAAGAGCCAGGGTCAAAGTCAGAGATCTACTTTTTCTTTGACCTTTGGACCCAAATGACCTTGACCATTAACCCAGTGACCCTGATCTTTGGTCAGTTGACTAACTCTTTAATTTCGACCAACTTTGCTTCATAATATCATAACAAAATGTTCATCAGTGAAAAATACAAAACTTGACCTTGACCCTTTGGACCCCCTAACTTGGACCTAAGGTCAGTTGACTCTGTGTTAAGTTCTGAACAAGTTTGCTACATAATAACATAAAAAATGTTCATCAGTAAAAAGATACAATAATTCAATAATTGACCTTGACCATGTGACCTTGACCTTTAGTCAGTTGACTCCTTTTTAAATTCGGACCAATTTTGCTTCATAATGTCATAAAAAAATGTTCATCAGTAAAAAGAGACAATATTTGACCTTGACCATGTGACCTTGACCTTAAGTCAGTTGACTCCTTTTTAAATTCGGACCCACTTTGCTTCACCTGTACAATGATAGCTGCTACGTAATGAATGTCTGGGTCTGTTAACATAGTGATTTCACAGTATACCTGTACAATGATAGCCGCTACGAAATGAATGTCTGGGTCTGTTAACACAGTGATTTCACAGTATACCTGTACAATGATAGCTGCTACGTAATGAATGTCTGGGTCTGTTAACACAGTGATTTCACAGTATACCTGTACAATGATAGCTGCTACGTAATGAATGTCTGGGTCTGTTAACACAGTGATTTCACAGTATACCTGTACAATGATAGCTGCTACGTAATGAATGTCTGGGTCTGTTAACACAGTGATTTCACAGTATACCTGTACAATGATAGCTGCTACGTAATGAATGTCTGGGTCTGTTAACACAGTGATTTCACAGTATACCTGTACAATGATAGCTGCTACGTAATGAATGTCTGGGTCTGTTAACACAGTGATTTCACAGTATACCTGTACAATGATAGCTGCTACGTAATGAATGTCTGGGTCTGTTAACACAGTGATTTCACAGTATACCTGTACAATGATAGCTGCTACGTAATGAATGTCTGGGTCTGTTAACACAGTGATTTCACAGTATACCTGTACAATGATAGCTGCTACGTAATGAATGTCTGGGTCTGTTAACACAGTGATTTCACAGTATACCTGTACAATGATAGCTGCTACGTAATGAATGTCTGGGTCTGTTAACACAGTGATTTCACAGTATACCTGTACAATGATAGCTGCTACGTAATGAATGTCTGGGTCTGTTAACACAGTGATTTCACAGTATACCTGTACAATGATAGCTGCTACGTAATGAATGTCTGGGTCTGTTAACACAGTGATTTCACAGTATACCTGTACAATGATAGCTGCTACGTAATGAATGTCTGGGTCTGTTAACACAGTGATTTCACAGTATACCTGTACAATGATAGCTGCTACGTAATGAATGTCTGGGTCTGTTAACACAGTGATTTCACAGTATACCTGTACAATGATAGCTGCTACGTAATGAATGTCTGGGTCTGTTAACACAGTGATTTCACAGTATACCTGTACAATGATAGCTGCTACGTAATGAATGTCTGGGTCTGTTAACACAGTGATTTCACAGTATACCTGTACAATGATAGCTGCTACGTAATGAATGTCTGGGTCTGTTAACACAGTGATTTCACAGTATACCTGTACAATGATAGCTGCTACGTAATGAATGTCTGGGTCTGTTAACACAGTGATTTCACAGTATACCTGTACAATGATAGCTGCTACGTAATGAATGTCTGGGTCTGTTAACACAGTGATTTCACAGTATACCTGTACAATGATAGCTGCTACGTAATGAATGTCTGGGTCTGTTAACACAGTGATTTCACAGTATACCTGTACAATGATAGCTGCTACGTAATGAATGTCTGGGTCTGTTAACACAGTGATTTCACAGTATACCTGTACAATGATAGCTGCTACGTAATGAATGTCTGGGTCTGTTAACACAGTGATTTCACAGTATACCTGTACAATGATAGCTGCTACGTAATGAATGTCTGGGTCTGTTAACACAGTGATTTCACAGTATACCTGTACAATGATAGCTGCTACGTAATGAATGTCTGGGTCTGTTAACACAGTGATTTCACAGTATACCTGTACAATGATAGCTGCTACGTAATGAATGTCTGGGTCTGTTAACACAGTGATTTCACAGTATACCTGTACAATGATAGCTGCTACGTAATGAATGTCTGGGTCTGTTAACACAGTGATTTCACAGTATACCTGTACAATGATAGCTGCTACGTAATGAATGTCTGGGTCTGTTAACACAGTGATTTCACAGTATACCTGTACAATGATAGCTGCTACGTAATGAATGTCTGGGTCTGTTAACACAGTGATTTCACAGTATACCTGTACAATGATAGCTGCTACGTAATGAATGTCTGGGTCTGTTAACACAGTGATTTCACAGTATACCTGTACAATGATAGCTGCTACGTAATGAATGTCTGGGTCTGTTAACACAGTGATTTCACAGTATACCTGTACAATGATAGCTGCTACGTAATGAATGTCTGGGTCTGTTAACACAGTGATTTCACAGTATACCTGTACAATGATAGCTGCTACGTAATGAATGTCTGGGTCTGTTAACACAGTGATTTCACAGTATACCTGTACAATGATAGCTGCTACGTAATGAATGTCTGGGTCTGTTAACACAGTGATTTCACAGTATACCTGTACAATGATAGCTGCTACGTAATGAATGTCTGGGTCTGTTAACACAGTGATTTCACAGTATACCTGTACAATGATAGCTGCTACGTAATGAATGTCTGGGTCTGTTAACACAGTGATTTCACAGTATACCTGTACAATGATAGCTGCTACGTAATGAATGTCTGGGTCTGTTAACACAGTGATTTCACAGTATACCTGTACAATGATAGCTGCTACGTAATGAATGTCTGGGTCTGTT